GCACGGAGAACAAAAGCCTTCCTGACCAAGAGCCAAGGCTGTGCTTTCACCCACACAGACCCGGGTTGCATTCCAACTCTGCTGTTCATAAGCTGATGCACTTGGGCAGGCTACTTCACCGTGATCATCATAAACAGGATAACTTCACCTACCTCCTAGGGATTCTAGAGCGCTCTTTTAAAAAGATGATATATGCAAACAAGGTGGTACATCTAAATAAGACAGAATGCAAAACACTTGGAATGTAATGAGCAGGTGGGCTTTTTCCTACACAGCCCGCATGGCAGATCTTTTGCTTGAAGCTTTGACATGTGTCTAGAACCCTGCTCACTGCGCCCTGTGATAACTGCAGTTATCTCACCTCTGAAACCAGCCCTTCGGCCCCCGCAGTGGTTTCCAGGCCTCTGCCTCCGACACCTGTCATCTGATCTGAATACAGCAGCCAGACTGCTCCTGTCTGGACGGCATTTGGTACAAGTGGCTAGTCTGCATAAAATCCCCTAAGGATCTCCCTGGTTGCTCAAATGAAAAGGCAAAAATTCTTGGAATTGCCTCACAGTGTTTTTGTCCTGCCCCACATGTACCCTCAACACACACAGTTGACGTTTTCCCAATGGTTCTTGCCCTCACTCAGTCCCAGACAGCCCTCCTGGTCCAGAAGTTTGCGTCATCCTGATTCTTCCTCCCCTACATATCTGCACAGCTGTTAGACAGATCCAAATGCAGACCTCTGCTTCCTCTGGGTCTCCCACATGGCTGCAGGAGCCCAGGCACCTGGGCCAAACTCCACAGCTTTCCCAGGCACGTAAGTAGAGTTGGATTGGAAATGGAGTAGCCAGGACTCAAACAGGGGCTGAGACCTGTGTGAATGCTGGCTCCACAGGCAGAAGCTTAGCCTTCAAATGCTGGTTCCAAAATTACCCTTTTTTTTTTCCTTAAAGAAGATGCACTGCATTTAAAATCACTGTCAGTTTTACTGGATATGAAATAAAAAATATTTACCTTTTTTTTTTTTACAATAAAGAATATGTCTCAGCTTTCAGGAAAATATTTTTCATTATTAAAACAATTTTTTTTGGTAAACTGATTTCTTCTTACGTGCTTCAAGCATTTAGTATAGCTTCTTCAAAATGCCACAGCACAAAAATGAACATGCAAGCATTTAAGAAAAACTTTTACATTTTTTGGAAAAAGAATAGGAAGTGGAAGCAAGTAATCAAAGAGTCAGAGCTGAAGCCTGAACTTGGCCACCAGAAGCAGGTGGTTGGAAGAGTTGTTCTCATTGAGAAGTCCATTCACGGTCCATAAGTCTTGTTCCCCAAGAAGCAACAGTCTAGCAAGAAGTTGCAAGCCACCAACCAGAGCTACGTCAGTGCCAGATGGCTACCATGACCAGGACTGGGTCACATGGGAGCCAGAAGCCAGGATTTTCATCTGGTCTCCCAATTTGGTGGCAGGGGCCCAAACTCTTGGGTCATCTTCTGCTGCCTTTTCCAGGCCAGCAGGGAGCCACATTGGCAGAGGAGCAGCAAACCAAGTGCCCACGTGGGATGCCAGCATTACAGGCAGTAACCCTAACCGCTACGTCACAACAGCCCCACCCAGTTATTTTAAACTGTATTTTCTTCTGCATTTCAATTTCTTGGTGTTCAGTGATAGCTTCCTTTTCTGCAGAATACAAAATACAATCCACAGTTCTGGCACTTGGGGAATGACAGATGTCACTTCTGGAATCCCAGTGTCAGGAAAGCGGAATGAATAAACAGATGACGAGCTGAAATGGTGCTGTAAGCTTGAAGATAACTTTTCAGCTGTCACTAGGGCTTCTGTTGCTCTTGCTGCCGGGTCAGGTCATTGCCTTTTTTACTTTGAGTACCTGCTGCATCTCATACGCACAGTTCCGTGAGACACTGGGGGCCAAATTGGGACAGACAAACTTCTTTGTCCCCATGAAAACGATCCCTGGCCTTGCTGATGGTAAGACCTTCATAATTCAATTTTCCTTCCTTTATGAAATTATAGAGTGGGGAAGCAGGAACAGAATTACAGCCACCAGACGTAACAATGGGATAGCAGCTGCCATCTTTCTGATGGGCCATGCTGAAGATATCTGCGAGCAACATGGCCAGCTGGGTCAGCTTAATGTCTCCTTGCCTTGGACATTTGTTGTACAATCCACGCAGATTGCAGAGGAGGCACCACATGGAATTTTGGGCCGCAAGAGTAAAATTTTCTGACATCATCTCTGTCAAAGAAAATCCAGGGTAGTAGAATTCCACTGGGCTCATGGATAAGAGTAAAAATTTGGAATGTTTAAAGCAAATGGTGCAACCATCAGGTTTTGTTCCTGCCCTCATGTTATACTCACAGTGATAACCCATTGATTCCAAGCTTGGCCTGATCTCTGTTCCATAATGATCTTCTTGAACTTCTTGCATCTGAATCAAAATGCTTAATTTCTTTCAGAATATCAAGAAACCTAAAACTCCAGTGTAATACTGGCAGCTGGCAGTGTCTGTAAATGAATTACCTTCCAGCACATCTTGTGACATCACTGAAAACTCAAGCTGGTTCTCACTGTCTGCACACTGGGTGTCACCCTCTTTGCCTCCTGGGATCTCCATGCTTTATTGCAGTTACAACATGTTCCCAATTCCGTGTCATCATCCTGGCCTCTCCCCACCATACAGCGGCCATCGCCCCTCCTCACACCACGGCCACGCTTCCATCTTTCCTTTCGGCCAGAGTTGTATTTCCAGGCCACAAGCTCCACCTCAACCTCCACAACTGAACGAGCAGCCTAAAGCGCCATGGAGGCCTGAACACTCCAAGTCCTGGCTCCCAGCCGGGCTGCTAGGCATGCTGGGAGCTGCAGTCCTGCCAGGGGCAGTGGCTCCATCTAGCGCCAACATTTTCTAAACTTACAATCCACATTACTTTGTAGTTCTCCAGCCACTCAGCACTTTCTAACATGCTGCAGCATTGATCTACTATTTGTCTCCTCCTATGAAGACTCCGTGAGAACCAGTCACTTCCTCTGTTGTGTTCACTACTGTGTCCATTGCATTCAGTAGTGCTTGCCACAGAATGGAGCCTCAATGTACTCTTCTAAACGAATCAGCGCGTGTTTACAGTGGAGCAAATAACCTGAGCAAATCCACAGACGTATAGAAAAGCATGGATCATTGAAGAAACTGAAAGCAGATTGTTGTGATAACAGCTGGGAGCGTGCAAGGGAAAGGAGTCAAAGATAAGATCTGCAACACAACATTGGAAAAACGCAATTGCAAAGGGACCAGAGTGCCCCATGCTCAAAAAGATCCACTTCTGATTTAGTGCTGTGCTGTTGATACTTGAAATGCTTCAACACTTTATTTATTCTGTGTTTTTCTGAGAGTGAGAGAGAGAGAACATTGAACCTCCGGTTCACTTTCCAAATACCTGCAAAGGCCAGAACTGAACCAAGTCAAAACCAGGTGCCAAGGATGCACTGCTGACCCCAGATTGGGTGGGGCGGTGACAGAGATCCAACCACTTGAGCTATCCAAAGATAGCCATTAGCAGGATGCTGGAATCAGGGATTCGGGCTGAAGCTGATGTATGATGTGGGTGCTTCAACTTGCATTTCAACTGCCAGGCCAAATATATGACCCATAATGCATAAACATTTTGAATGATTTTATACTGTACCCCACAAAGTGTGCCATCAATTCTGGTTAATCAAAAGACCATGTACACTGTGTTAAGCAGACAATGAAAAGGCTACATTTGAGCCCTCTCAGGAGGCTGGAAGCCAGAATGGGAAAGGTGAGAATACCACCAGAATCCCTGGTGATTTAACTCATCCTTTTAAGACCTGTTGAGATGTCTTCTCCCTGCCCTGCCCAGCCCCCAAGTGGCAGAGCTGACATAGTCTTCCCTAGCTAAACCTGTGGCACATTGCTCCTAAGTCTCTCGTGGTGCTTAAGGCATTATACTCTAATTATGTGCAGACACATTTATCTTTCTGTTTTAAGGCAGGATTTTCTCAAGGCTGGGGCTTGTCTTATTCAACCTTGATGAATGTGTGCTTGGCAAGGTGACCATAGCAGTATTCAGGGAATTATCCAAGTGAAGGAATAAATGGAAAAACAACAGCTGTGTGATTCAAATAATAAAGTGGATCTATAAGCTCATTTGTATTTTGTATTTCAAGTCCATTCATCAATGAAGAGAAACATTCCCAGATGTCTTCCATTGGCAATAGCAGGAAGAAGTGGAAGAGGAGGTAGCAGTGGATCCCCCACTCATCTCCTTCCCCTCCACCTGTCAACTGGTCGCTCTCCTTCCTTTCCCACCAGACATCAGTCTTCCAGAAAGCACATCTCCATTTCTTTGCTTCCTGCTCTCTGTTCACCCTCATCCTCCTTCCACCACTTTCACTCCACTGCCAGCAACCTCCAGGTCAGTGACTGCTAAGCACAGTTGGTCCTCACCCTGTTACTTGTTTATATCCACTGTTGACTGCTTCCTCCTGAATCGGCATTCTGCTGTTTCATGCTACAAGACTCTTGGTTTTCTACTCACCTCTGTGGAAATTTCCTTGCTATTGCTCTTGCAGCCTAATCTTACTCCGTTCATCCATTCTACATCACAGTTCACAGAATCCTAGTCTAGGCCTCTTCTACTAGTTTTATATTCTCTTCCTCTTCCACTCTATGGCTTCAATATTCACTCATCCACATATCATAAAGAGGCACTGGAACTCTGTAAGTATTTGCTAAGTGTTATCACTCAGTAATTCACATATTTTAATTAAAATTTTTTACAAGACATGGAAACATTTGCATTTCGACTGAACAGGTGGTATGGAGAGAAATGTATATGAAGTTTTAAATTGTGGTCCATCCTCTCTGTCATGATGACTGTCATCTTTGGGTTGACATTGGTCCTGGGGCCCAAGGTTGCTACTATCCATTTGGAGATGATAGTTCACCAAGGAAGGGAAGATTTAGACTCACCATTTTGATTGCAATGGTATGTCTCCAGACTCCTGATTCCTTCTAACCATTTTTCTTCCCTTGGGGAAGAATCACTGTCAAAAATACTTTCATGCAGCCAGGATTCAGAGGCACCCAGGTCGAAGAGAGATGAAAGGGAATGGCGGATCTTCCTTTTCTTTCTAAATATCCTGGAAAGATACGAAAGTCGCAAGATGAATAGTGAAGAGTAATCACCCCAGCTTAGAGACTGAGAGTGATACAGGAGCGAGTATGCACTTGCAGTCCAATTCTGTACTTTTTGGAAGTTCCCCCAAATTCTACCATGTGTCATATCCTGAGATCAAGGTTATGAGATGAAAGACCTAGCGCATGTTTACAAAAATGTTTACAAGCTACTACAGGTGAAAGATAAGAATGAAGCAGACATACTCAGTGCTCTCACTGAGTTCACCTGCTCCTGGGGTCTCTCTCACAGATCTACTAAATGACCTAATCCTCACAATAGCCCTACGAGGTTGATGCCACTATCTTCACATTTTTCGGATCAGGAAACCGAGACTTAGAGTGATAAGATCACTTGACTAAGGTCATCTGGCTAGTAAGCGACATGGCTGGATGCAAACCCAAGACAGTCCAGCTCCAGCAGTCCTGCCGCTGCCTGCTGACATGGCTGGGGTGCAAATCTAAGGCAGTCCAGCTCCAGCAGTCCTGCCACTGCCTGCTGACATGGCTGGATGCAAATCCAAGACAGTCCATCTAGCTCAGCCTTGCTGTTGATTGCCAGGTCCCACTGGGAGCACACACACTAGCAGTCTCTAGGAAAGCTCTGGTAAAGGCATTGCCCGTGGAGCAGCAGAGAAGGCTTTCTGGAGTAAGTGAGACCTGAGCTGCCTAAAAAGAATGTTTAGGTTTCGCATTTGGATAATGCCTGGAAATCACCCTGGAAAAGTAAAACAGGTAGAGCTTGAACCTTGTGTCTCATGCAGAAGATCTGGGACTTCATGTGGGATCAAAGCAAGACCTCTGAAGCATGCTGAGGGAAAAGGGACCATGGTAAGTAACATGAACTAATTTGCTTTTCCAAAATATCCTTGACCTTGGAGGATGTCTCCAAGGCAGCCAGATTATTCAAGCTATACATGGAGTAACACGTTTTATTGTCATATCTGGGCTGTGTCAAGACTTCTCCTGCTAAACACATCATACTGAAAGCCTAAACTAAAGCCAGGTAATGCAAAGAGCTGTTGTGAAAGACCTTACATTATGAATTTCTACAAGATCAGCTGCAGTTGCAATCAGAGGTTTATTTTCATTTGGTTCTATTGCTTTTCAGATGGATTAGAGAAAATTTTGTAAATTCATTCCAGGGTAGTTTCAGGCCCCGGGGACATTGGCAGCTTCTAAAGACATTTTAAAAAAAATATCTGAGGCCAGAAAAGTGATGGTACTGGTACACACCGGGTAGAGGTCAGAGGCACTGCTAAGCCTCCTGTGAATCACAGGACAGAAGAAAATTATTATGTACCAAATGTAAATAGAGCTGCCTTGGAGAAGGCTTGTTGTATTGTAATTCCTTTGGTCATCAATTTCAGGTAACCACAAGTTGAGAAATAACAGACTTCATAATAACAGAACAAGTTCTTGTAACAAGTTTTAAAGATATTTGTAGATTTTGAGATTATCTTAAATTGCGTAAGCAGAAATTGGAAGTTTATGTAATTATTCTCCCATCAATCCATTCATTCAATCAATATTTATGATGCACCTACTATGGGACAGCACTGATCCAATGTGTGGGTGAAACATCTCTGCCATCAAGAATACCTGCATAACATTGCGAGGAGGGGCCACAGACTGTTTCTCTGCAGTCAGATGATCTAAATTGGACTCCTGGTTCCACCGAAAAGCTCCATAAACTTAGAGAAAAGTTCCTTAATTCTGTCTTATTAGTTTAGAGAGAGAAGTCTGTGGATCACATCACCCATATGATAAATTAGATTGTTCTTCTGCAAATATGTGCCTCTTCCTTCCCCTCTCCACCAGTACAGAGAGTACATATCTCTGACCCTCATTCCAGCTTTTCTACGTGACTTGGAATGACCAATGGGACTCTAGCAGCTTGATGCAGACATAGGTACTTGCTTTTGAGGTGTGTCCTCTGGCATTCATGCAGTTCTGACGGGGAGAACATCCTTCGTGTGACCTAAAGGTCCTAAGGAGGCTGTCACAGAGAGAGCAGACATGATTTCTAACTGAGGGCAAGCTCAGCCCAATCTACACTAGATCTAAACAAGTTACCACAGTATTAACTAGTGCTAAGATGATATAGGAATTCTTGTGCAGAGTTACTGTGTCAAAAAGTGGCTGATAGAGTCAGCATAATGGTGGTATGAGGCAAATGAAAATGGATGTGATTTCTCGAATCCATTGATTCAAAATGAACTTACACTCCCTGTCCTTGAAATATGCCTCTATCTTTTTCCTCTGGTCTAACTAAATGGTGCCACTATCCATTCAACTGACAAAGGCAGAGACCTAGGTTTCATACCCGTGTCTTTCCTTTGCTGGAATTCCCACATCCAGAGACCGCGTGTTGCTTGCCTCTTTGCCAGCCCTCTCATCCGCTACCCCTCTCCACTTCCTAGCCTTGCTCCTGCTGCTTTCTTTCACCGCACAGACTCCCAGTCTCCAGTTGCTTCCATTGTATTTGTTTCTGCTCACATATCCAAATTCAGACCAATCCATCTTCTGCATCCTTAGCCCTGCTGTTTTATTAAGAGTAAAAACTGATACTTTGTCAAAGGCTCTTCTTTGTCTACAGAAAAAGAAAATCCAAAATCCCTGGCCTAAAATTAAACTCCCTTCATCCAGCCCATACATTCATGTTCAGTATTGAACATAGCAGACCTCTCCTTCCCACAATAAGTTGGGCATCTATTGATCTATTTGCTATTATGTTTAATTATATTACTGTCTCCTAATCCCTTTCTTGCATTTATTTTCTTTTAAGATCCCATCAGTCATCATCATATTTAGCAAGTTTGTTCACATCTGTTCTTCTAGTCTCCCTTCGTTTCCCCTTCTTACCGATGCCTTTTATTGATTTTCCATGTCAGCCATCCCTTCTCCTTAACTCCCCTTGCATGTCCACTTTCTGGAGCACTAATGGGCTCCTTGTAAGTGACTGCTGGATGAATAAACGAATGAATGAGAAATTAATGGGCAAGTCAGACTTAAGCTCCCTTTATGTAATACCCTCTACTTACCTAACCAAGTTCTCTTTGTACACAACACTGGTCCGGGATGGGCTCAGTGTTACATGGCCATCATTGTCACAGCAGAAACTGTCTTCTGTCCAAATATAGTAGCCATTGGTGAGGAGCCGGGGACTTCGCCGACAGATATACTGGGAGCCCGACAGGGGATCTGTGGAGCAGCATCTGAAGGAACTCTCACCATCCAGGAAATCACAGGAAAAACTAACGACAGGAAAAAAGTCCTTCAAATCGCCTATTGCTACAAGCAATTGCACAAAACCACATATTGGCTACAGTGATGGCAAAACAATTCTTCATATTCAAGACTATCATGGCTTCTTTTTAAAAAATATTTATTTCTTTTTATTGGAAAGTCAGATTTAAAGAGAGAAGTAGAGACAGAAAGATCTTCTGTCTGCTGGTTCCACTCCCTAAGTGGCTTCAACAGCCAGAGCTGAGCTAATCTAAAGCCAGGAGCCAGGAGCTTCTTCCATGTCTCACATGTGGATATAGGGTCCCAAGGCTTTGGGCCAACCTCCACTGCTTTCCCAGGCCACAAGCAGGGAGCTGGATGGGAAGTGGAGCAGCCAGGAAACTAACTGGCATCTATATGGGATCCCGACATGCAAGATGAGGATTTTAGCCACTAGGCTCCCATGTCGGGTTCCTCAATTACCCCTTTAACCTTGAAAATTGTCACCTTTAACCTCCTGGATTTCATCTTCTGATCTATGACCTTCCTGAACTACAAAGTTCTTTCTGTTTTAAATTGTGATGAGTTTCAAACAGCTGTATCACCATGAGATGACCCTGCAGTCCTGAAACAACCGTATAACCATTTTTTTTTTCTCTAATTCTGGAAGCTCTTAAGTGCTCTCTCCCCCTAACTCTGAATACTCTTCAATTTCTACATCACCAGTCTCAACATTATAATGGGAAAATTATAACTATGCAGTTACCAACAGCAAGCCAGGCACTGGGTGAACATGCAGTCAGAGAGCTCCTCTGATCTTTGCAAAGTTCCCTTTAGTGTGGCTGTGCAAGTGGTCAGAGTCACCTCCTCTGGGCTGGTATCCAGAGAAGTCTTATGCTTCTCTAGGTTTCTATGGGTATCTAAACACAGGCCTGTATCATTGAAAGGCAACCAAACTATGAAGATATTCTAGAAATGGAAAATTTGCTTGGATGAGGGTTGGTGGAGCCTCGTGATAACAGTCACAGAGCCATATTGGAAAGAAGAATACGGACTTTACTCAGGCAAAACTACTGCATTCCTCTCTCCTCTTCCAAAAAAGCTAGTGAATTTTCTGTGCCTCACATCCTGATTCACTTCCTGGAGGCTTGTGTGTATGTCTGCCTGCCCGCCTCCAAAACCATTTTAGAAATTTCTAGAGAGCAGGGGCTGCATGTCTAATTGATGTTCAGTAATACACAAATGCAATACCATAGGCTGAATGAAATGACCTAAGTGATTTTGGAAATATGATACTTAAAAAGAAAAAGTACCTAGCGGGCCCATCGCAATGGCATGGCAGCCCAGTCCTCTACCTCTAGCACCACTATCCCACATGGGTTCTGGTTTGTGTTCTAGCTGCTCCACTTCTGATGCTGTTCACTGCTTATTGCCTGCAAAAGCAACGGAGGGTGTCCCAAGTCCTTGGGACCCTGAACCCTATACCCGCGTGGGACACTGGGAAGAAAGTCCTCTAGGCTCCTGGCTTCGGATTGGCTCGGCTATGGCTGTTGTGGCCAGTGGGGAGTGACGAAAGACTTCTCTACTTCTCTCTGTAAAATCTGCCTTTCGAATAAATATTAAAAAATCCAAATAAAAATGTCTAGTGTCTGAATGTATTTGACCTTGCAGCACAATAACATCAATCTGTCAGAATCCTGGTAACAACCCCCACACGCATTTACCTGGATGTTTACCAAGAACTTGTATACACATTTACTATATTTGTGGCATCGATTGGAAGTAACATAGACCTCCAGAGAAGCACAGAGGCAAATAATCAGCAGGGCTTTATTTCTTGCATTTCCAATCCCACTGAATTCCACTTGTCCCATCTGTATCCTAATAAAGTTTGCCCAGCACTCCATCAACGACAAGGATCCCACCCTTACTGGGCCAGCTTGTTCTGCACGGAACAAATGTGAGTTGCAAAGTGATAGAAAAGACATGGAATTCAGAGCCCGTCTGCCCTCAGTCCATAATTCCAACTTTGTCACTGACCAGAAAAGTTACATTCACCAGGCACTTGAACTGCCAAATATCTCCTTCTTTGTAGAATCAGAACAAAGAGCATCTCTCTTAAAGAGTTGTTTGGCAGATGACTGTGAAATGAATGGAAGGTGTTTAATAAAAGCTTACTTTCTCCTTCCCCTTCTTTCTCCCCCTTTCCTTCGCCTTCCATGACCTTCCCAAGATCTCTCTTCTGCATACTACAAGAGTTCCAGTTCATTTACCTCATTTCCTAGAATAAGATGTGATTTTTTTTTTCCTCTTCAGTCTCATATGATGACTGCTCTTCTCTGAGTTTTTCCAGTTTCTAAAGCACTTATTAGTGCCTAAAACCCAGTCCTTCTCATGTGTCTGCTGGTGGACATTGAGATTGTTCTCTTCCTCATTCTAGAATCCCTGTCTTTAGTATTGAAATTCAAGTCATATTACCTTCATTCTATTCCCTCCCCCCATCCCAGTCTCCAGCAGTGTCATAGTATTGAACCAGCTGTCAATTAATAGTTCTTTTTCCAAATATCTAATCATGCCGTCCCCTCTTGGACTTTTAGACCAAGTTAGTACATAAGAAAGACTGAGAACAAAGGCTGTGTAGCTAAATAGAACTGGGTTTACCCTCTATCACATAGCAACTAAACTAACTTATCAAGACTCAGTTTTCTGTACATGAAAAGATTACTAGGGTAAAATGTCAAAATTTCTTAGAAGGTATTAATGTCAGACTTGCACAGTTTTCATGCTGTAGGTTAAATTTGTTGGCTACTTTGTATAATAACCTCATTAGTATTGTGCTCTTATTTGTGGAGGGATTGCAATTTTATCATAAAACATTTTCAATATCTTTACATTATGCCATCCAAAAACATTATTACTGATGTGTGTGTGTGTCCTTAACTGAACTCACTGATGAAAATGTTCAGTGGTGCAATCTAGGCTAGCCAAACAACAGAAGAGACTTAGGAGAGGTTGGGCATTCAGCCTAGTGGCTTAAAAGCCAGTTACATGCAATGCCAGTACCATTGCAATGCCCAGTTCTGGTACTACCCTCTGACGCTCAACTTAAATTTTCCTAATGATGCACACCCTGGCTCTCTCTCTCTGTCTCTGTCTCGGTCTCTGTCTCTCTCTCTCCTGCCTCTCAACTAAATCATTGTTTCTTAAAAAAGAATTAGTGGGACAACTGCATGTATAAAGTACCAGACAAGTAAGATGTTACAGAAGTATGCTCTTACATTTCTCTCCATGCTCAGTTTGAGTTTCATCCTTCACCAATTTTCAGTTGGACTCTTTCCAATTCCTAGTGATCTCTCTGTCAACCTGTGATTATAACCAATATAGAAATCCTCTTCCAGCATTTGGATTGCAGCAAAAAAGGTTCTTCCTCAACATCATCAAACATTTTAAGAAGATAAAAAGCATATCCCTAGATTTTGATTCTTGCCTTGCTTTTGCTGTGCATAGTCCAATACTTGGTTGCTTTTAGAAGTCCCTTCCAATTGTTCTCAGAAACTCACCCCCTCAACCAAAGCCCAGCAACTTACATCACTGTCCAAAGAAACAGTCCTTTGTCATCCTGAGGGTGACTAATAGACCTTGTGAGTCTGGAGCTCACACCCCCAGGGGAGGATAAATAAAGACCAGTTGGTGAGTCAACAATGAATCTTCAATGAAATTTAGACAATTGCTCATAAATTGATAGACCATAAAATGTTGCTGATCATCTCACACATTTCCCCATGCTCTATAGAATTCCTTTATCTTTATAAATTCCAGAACCAATGCAAGTTGCCATAAGCACTCAAGTTAATATTAATGTACTTTTTAAATGGGTATTATTTATTGCATACTTTATAGTATGACCTCATACTTTGGACTTTATTGACTCTTCTGAATCTCTGTAGATGCTAATTATTATTATTATTATCTCAGTGCATAAAGGGAAAAAAGAGCAAATTAATTGGCTTTATTATGCAGCTACTATGTGATCACGGTCAATGTGACTGTGTAACAGGTGCATTTGTGAGTGTTCTCCCGACTCACGGGAGTAACAAGAGGCCTGAGAGTTACAAAAAAGAACAAGTTTCATTGCATTCACTTGATGTCTTTATATGACAAATTCGTGTCACCAAATACTGGGGGAAACCTCAATTTACATACTGGATGAAAGAGTAAGAAAAAAGAAAGGCAGAAAAGACAGGAGGCACCACGTGAATTCCATGCTCGAACGAAATTGTAAACCCCACACCAGTGAGTGGAGCACCAAATTCAGCCAGCTTGTGCCTCACTCTACAGGTCTGTGGCTCTTGAAAAATGAGACAGGAAAGCACATTTAAAGGAACATCAATGTGAGAAACAGTAACCATTGAATGACATTCAATTGCTCATGTCTACCTGTATACTCAGTGCCCAATAATAGCCATCCATTAAGCAAATTTCCACTTTGTGTATGCCACAGGAATGAAGCTATGTAACTGTACTCACACTGGGTAAGAGTTGAAAGAACATTTTTATACTAGGATAAAATAAAACATACAGGAAGAGGGATGATTTCTTTTTCCTTGAAGAAAAGGTGATGCCTACCTAAGGAAAGGGCTCCTGGGAGACAGCTCTCCAGCGAATCGTCCGTCCGACTTGGAAGGACCTGCACAAGCCAAGGAGAGAGAAACAAAAACGTCTTACATCTTGCTGATGTGCATGACCAGAGAAGCGGAGTCCTCTAAGAAAGTTTGGGTAGTGATGCCTTGGTCTCAGCAGGAAGACACCAATGAAGGCAGCATCCAGGAAATGAGCCTAACTCAACCTGCCACCAGGTCTCAATGGAAAGCAAAAAACGATCTAAGGCCCACATCATTGGTGTCTTCTGGGATACAGCATTCTTGCTGAGGTACCTGGGTGCAGAATGAGGCAATAATAAATCATCAGCATCAAACAATGCTTAGGAGAAGAGGAGAGAAAATGTCTTGTGGGGAGCTATAGAAAACCCAAATTAATGCCCCAATATGTTGGTTATTACACCTTAATCAGCAATCTAAGGGATTCCATTACAGTGCCAGACTCTTCCTCATTAGTGCTTTAAGGAAAAAGAAAAAAACCCTTATTTTTCATGATACAATTCTTCAGAATCAGGGATTTCCCCTTTCACCCCTCCCCACCTACTTCCCCCACTGTTTCCCCTATAACGCAACAACTATTCAGTCCCTCAGCAGCAGTCACAAGTCCATCATAAGACGGTGAGCAGAAAACATTCGTGGGAACAAGTTTTGTTTTATGCTATATGTGAAGCCTTCTAACATTTAAAAAAATTACGTTACTTATTTTCATTTATATTTGAAAAGTAGAATGACAGAAAGAGAGAAAAAGAAAGGAGAGGGAGATCTTTCATCTGTTACTTCACTCCCCTAAATGTCCACAACAGCCAGGACTGGGCCGTGCCAAAATCAGGAGCCAAGAACTCAATCTGGTTCTCCCGTGTGGGCGGCGAGGACACAAGGACTTGAGGCATCCATTGTCTGCTGTCGCCAAGGAAGAATATCAGCTAGAACCCAGAGTCAAATCAGGCAGTCCAATGTGGGATGTGGGTGTCCCACGTAGCAGCTCTTAATTGCTGTGCCAAACACCCACCTGTCAGCCTCCCTACTTTAAAAAGAAAAACACGATCCATCTATTCATTCTAGTTAAACCAAAGACATGGCAACGGACCTCACTTGAGGATCATAGTATCTGATTAATATTCTAAAACAGAATTTCATAATATTCTGCAAGAGTATCAATACCTCTGCTAGGCAGGCTCAGTGAAACTTGGTTCCATCGCTGAAAATATCTAAATCTTAGTGTCTAAAACAAAGAAAGCAATTTAGACTTTCAAATTAGACTGGCTGGTTTGTAAGAGACAATTCTGAGAGTGTGAGGGAGGGTTAGGAGTGGCATTTGAGGAGAAAATAACAAGAGGAAGGAAGAAACTTGAAACCACTACCGTTAACAACGCCCTTGTTTTCTGCTTGTAGCTATCAAAAATCATTCAGCATTTTTTAGACACAAACAGTTTTTGCATCTTAATAGTAGCTGATAAACAATCTCCTTTCACATTTATGCACAGGCATCTAAAAAAAACCTGGTAATTTTTTTCTACAAAAAGGAAAAAATATCACATTTCTCTCAAGGAAAGAAATGAAGTCAAAATCATTGCCAACGTGAACACTGGCATTTAAGAAACACAAGCTACTGACAGATGGTTAATGGTCTGAGTATCAGCAAAATCAAAGCAAGGAAATTGCTAAAAGGAGTCTAATCGCTCAAAAGATAATTGCATATAACAGTTCTCTCACATTTACTTGCTACTGGTGTTGACATCAGTTGAGATATTCGGTACATCTTGGGAAGGCCGCTTGTTCAAGCTTCACAGATTTTTCTGCAAAAGATGTTAAAAAAAAAAAGGTGGACTACATATCAAAAATAGAAAAAATGATGCCAAAACAGATGGTATCGACTAATTGCACTAGTCAGATTTATTTACTGAAGTAATAGAGAGCTATAGGATGCAAAAGGATGGAAGGCAAGGGGGTAGATTGTAGGACTTCTCTGAAAGTGTGTCTTCTTCTCTGGTTTTGTATTGCACTTTCCGTTGTCTCGTTCAACGCATTGAAATAATATTCCCCTTTTGCAAATAAAAACATCATTGTATTTGGGAATGCTGGACTTACAAAGATTGATTTGTAATTCAAATAAAAATAATGAAAATGAGTTGGCTGATGAAGAAATTGAAAAAAGAAAAGAAAAAACCTATTCATTGTAGAGTCGCTCAAACAAATGTGTCTGTTTTAAACACCCACCACAACTCAAGGCCGTTATCACGTTTCAGACAGCGCTTTGGGACTGGTGTGTGTCTTTTACCCAACAACTTGAACCACTGACAGGTTGTTAGAGAGTTGGTGAGTGCTTTTTATCAGCCAAGACATCCCCCAAAACAGCCTCGACAGCATTGCACTAAAAATACTGTGCCATTGTACAACATAAAACCCCAGTCCTCCTGGACACCTAGTGCATTCTCTCAATGGCAAATTAGAAAGATCAGAGTATATAAATGTTGGCAATCTTAGTCGTTTAGCACTCCGCACATGGCCCTTCCTCCCACTAACTTCTGGATTTTGTACCAATCTAGACCACTATCTCAACAGCTTTTATAAAAGGTAAAATTAAATCCTCTCTGGTTAGCCAACGCTATTCATACTTTGTAGTGTCAGAATCAGTAATGAATTGTTGCTGTTGTTGTTTTTCTGCCATATTAAGGCTCCAAATTATTTTAATAAGTTACACATACTCCCCATTAGAACACTCAGAAATATGCTAGCAATGATCTTGCAAGATGTCAGAAGAACTTCCTGGCATGTCTTGGAACATTTCAAAATCACAACACACATTTGCAGATCTTGCTTATTTGGAACAGAAATGATATTGTTAAAATCTAATACATTAGTCTGTCACCTGTCTTTTGCACTTTTTGAGCAACAATAGTGTGTCCAGTCCAAATTACTCTATATCAGTTTTTCCCCAAGAATGAAACTTAATTTTAAGCCAATAAATCCTGCAACATCTTACAAATGCTCATGATAGCTCACAGGCATTAAACTGACATTTAGCAGAGAATTAGTTAAAGAAAAAAAAGGCTGCAGTCACAATTCTGAAACTTTTCAAGAAACAGACACTATCTACCAGTTCCACCAAAGCAACACGTCTGTTCTGAAAAGTGGTTTTCCCATACACATTCCTTCCAAAGGGAGTCCCCGGTCTCTTCTTCCAGCTGATAAATGCTAAACGTAGTTGCTGCAGTGTGAAGCTACCTGTAGTCAACGCAGGAGAAGCCGAAAACTGAGCAATTTTTCAACCGAAGGCTGAACATCAGAATGCCAACAGGTGTAGAAATCTCACAACAAAGGAAGCCTTTTCCTCCCTTCTTATACACACACGGCAATGTGCAGAGAAGTTTTGTCTTCTGCAGCCCCTTGTCCGGGCTGTTTCTTAGAACAGAGGCGCATGTAGTTCTTGGGAAAGTCAGCCTTCCCACCCTCTTGTTTTCTTTCAAAAACAGCCTGCGAAACCAGAGGCAGAGAAGCAGATGAGGTCACACTTCCTGCCTCCCACCAGAGGCATTCACTGTGAGAGGCAAGAATTAAGATAGGCTCCGGGTTCTGCAGGCGGACACATGTAGCCCGTGACTCAGACCGCCACGGCTGCTGGACGGACACTCTTTAGGGCTAATGGGTCACCCCTAGCTGTGAGATCTGAGAAACTCCCCCCGGGACAGGTTCCTTCTTGTTCAACCTCTCTGGGCACATTTGAGCATGAGCAGCACGTGATGTTGCACTTTGCCCACACCACTTAGATTCATTAGAGCTAAATACTGATGCTAATGCAACATTCAGGAATCTACTAAGCACCAGGAGCTTATTTTATGAAAATGTTTCTAGTGTCTATATACTGTATTAGCCAAGTTTGGACTTCATAAAAAAAAAGAGGAAGAAGAAACAATTCTATGGGTCTTTGGGTGACAATTTACCTTTATATAGTACAATAGCTCAGAGAACTTGATACTTTTTGTAGCTACATATATGTCTGCTATCATGTGTGATACAAGCCATATGCATTCTAACAATATAGAGGGGACACTGCATAGCAGAAAGAGCATGGGTTTTGCAGCCACACAGACTGATGCTCAAATTGTCATCCTGGCTGTCTAAGTACAAATTTACACCTTAATGTTTTGTCAATAATCCAAACCATAATCTACTTTTTCACAGGATAGCTTGCAGAATTAAAGGAGCTCAGTGAAGTGAGAAAGAATTGAGTCCTCACTGCAGACATGCCAGACCACTCCCTTACTTGTTTCTGTAAACCAACTCCTCCGCTGAGGCCCCACTGGTCAGGCCAATGGAAAAGGTCATCCCCTTTCCCCTGAGGACAGACTACACAGCATGATATCCTGGAGCACATGACCCGGGCAGCAGAAGCTGTCGGGATGAGAGCCCATCTGGTTTCCAGGACCCTGCCTACTGAGCTCCCTGTCTTTGAATCCTCTCTCCTCAAATGTGTGCTGAAGCCCCTGACCTGCTCCTTGTGCGTGGGTTGCCACCACTACAATCAGGTTGCAAATGATGGTGGCTTCTGTCTTGCAAGACTTTCTAAAACCTTCTTGGCTTGCTCAAGCTGCAATGAGGGAGAGGCCCATATGGCAAGGGAGCACGGAGGTCTTAAAGCCAAGACGGAATTGAGGACTTCAGTCCAACAGCCAGGAATGCAGCCAAGAACCTTGGAAGTGGATACTCTCCAACAGGGCCTTGAGATGGCCGCAGTCCGTCCTAGCTGACACCTTGGCCACAGCCTGTGAGAGTCACAGAAGCAGAGGGCCCAGTTTAACTTTGCCCACATTCCTGTCCTGGGAAAACTGTGAGATTGTGTATGGTGTTTTCAGCCACCAAGTTTTAGGGCAATTTGTTACATGGCATTAGAGAAGTAATACATAGTCCTAACAATGTTCGTCAGTGCTGGCTGGTGGTCCATGGCTCTTTGCTGCTGTAATGCTTCCCTTAGAATACAGGCTCGTAGGCCCAGCACAGTAGCCTTGTGGATATGATTCTGGTTCATGTCCTGGCTGCTCCACTTCCTATCCAGCTCCCTGCTTGTGGCCTGGGAAAGTAGTCGAGGATGGCCCAAAGCCTTGGGACCCTGTACCCACATGGGAGACCCAAAAGAAGCTCTTGGCTCCTGGCTTCAGATCAGCACAGTTCTGGCCATTATAGCCACTTGGGGGAGTGAACCAGTGGGTGGAAGATCTGTCTCTCCTTCTCTTTGTAAAATCTGACTTTCAAAAAAAAATCTCATTTAAAAAAAAAAAAGAACACAGAGCCATAAATGTAAAGCTACATCTTGCCACATTTGCCGTCACTGGGAGTCCAGTATCTTTATGCTGTAAATCAAAGCTCTCTCGTTCCTGTCCTCTTCATGCTCCTTCCATGCTTCCTACTCCTCAGCTTTCTCCTCCCACTGGACTTGGCTAATTTCTACAGAAGAAAGGGCAGTACTTCTAATTTCTTCTGGACCCCTTTGTCTATCTGTATCCCCAAATCTCCTTCTCCAGTGAGCTCTATTTACAACGGCTTTGCTCTTTCTTTAAAGATTTGGTTCATGTTAAATTCTCATTAATGATCAAACTTATCACTAACTATCTGGAATCTCAAGTATACATCAGGCTCCGTTCATGTATCAACTTAGTCAATCCTCAATGAAATCCCAAGTGTATGTCAGGCTCTGTCCATGTACAAACTTCAGAAACCCTTAAATGCAACCCCTGGCAGATACTGCTACTTTTTTTATTTAAAATTATTTACTGGGCTTGGCGACGTGGCCTAGTGGCCAAAGTCCTCGCTTTGAACGCACTGAGATCCCATTTGGGCGCCTGTTCTAATCCCGGCAGCTCCACTTCCCATCCAGCTCCCTGCTTGTGGCCTGGGAAAGCAGTCGAGCATGGCCCAAAGTCTTGGGACCCTGCACCCCTGTGGGATACCCGGAAGAAGTTCCTGGGTCCTGGCTTAGGATTGGCACAGCACTGGCCGTTGTGCTCACTTGGGGAGTGAATCATTGGACGGAAGCTCTTTCTCTCTGTCTCTATTCATCTCTGTATATCTGACTTTCCAATAAATAAATAAATCTTTAAAAAAAATAAAATAAAATGATTTACTTTTTGGGCCCTGCACTGTCTTGTAATGGGCTAAATTTCTGCCTAGGACAGCAACACCCTATGTGGGCATTGATTCTAGTCCTGGCTGCTCCACTTCTGATCCAGCTCTCTGCTTGGGGCCTGGAGGGCAATGGAAGATGGCTCAAGTCCTTGGGCCCCTGCATCCATGTGGGAGACCAGGTGTCCTGGGTCCTGGCTCCTGGCTTTGGGTACGTTCAGCGCTGGTAGATGCTCCAACCATTTGGGGAGTGGACAGTGGATGGAAGAATCTCTCTATTTCTCCTTATCTTTCTGTCTCTGCCTTTCAAATACAAATGCATCTTTTAAAAATGGTATTTACTTATGAGAGATAGAGTTTCCATCTGCTGTTTCACTCCTCAAATTCCCATAATGGCTGGAGCTGGGCTGAGCTGAAGGCTGGAACAGGGTACTCAACCCAGGTCTCCCTCGTGCACAGCAGGGATTGAACCACTTGAGCCATCACATACTGCCTTCCAGGATGCACATTAGCTGGAAGATAGAATCAGTAGCAGATACAAGACTTAAAATCAAGCACTTCAACCTGTGTTGCAGGCAGGTCTCCTACCTACAGCTTGACCAATAGGCCAAAGGCCTATTTTCCTGTCTAGGAAATAAGTCAATGTGTAACCACGTGTGAGATGGAGGTTTAGAGAGTCTGTCCACCCACCTCTCTCAAAGTTGCCAGATGCCACACCGAGAATCCCAAACTTGTAGTTCCTCAGAGCTCCACTCTGTGCAGGTCCGCCTGTCTCCCTGTTGCTTCTCAAATATCAGATCTGTGCCAGCTTCAAGACCTTAAGCTTGGTGTGGCCTCTGGCAGAACATCCCGGAGAGTGTCACAGCCATTCTTCACTTCCCTCTGCTTTTTATTCCATAGTCCTGGAATAAGAATCACCTTCCACAGCACACCGTACTCTTTCTGCTTCATTCTTCTGCTGAGCACATTCACCAGGAAAAGATTCTTATACTGAAAAACAGGTAAAAGTGTAAGAGGGCAGAGACTCTCATCCCCAGCCCCACTGCTATTGCTACAGGGCCAGTATCTTAAACGGTCTACCAATGACCAATGAATATTTGAAGGATCAACCAATATTAATGAAAATCCAGGAAACCTGGCTTCAGAAAGTTTACTTGGATGTTATGAACCACAGTCCATAAGGGTATGATATATATCCTACTAACAGATTGTGTGTGTGTGTGTGTGTGTGTGTGTGTGTGTGTATCTGTAAGGAAATGTACCCAAAGTCCTAAACCAAACCAATTTCTTTAAACTCCTTCTCCCTCTCTCTCCCTCTCTCTCTCTCTCTCTCTCTCTCTCTCACACACACACACACACACACACAAACATGTGCACACACACACACCATGGGGTTGGTGTGAAGACTCTCTAGTTAATCAGTTCCCTTATTATGACCTGGGAAAGCAGTGAAGGAAGGCCTAGAGCCTTGAGATCCTGCACCTGAGCAGGAGACCCAGAAGAAGGTCCTGGATCCTGACTTCAGATCAGCTTAGCCTCTGCCACCAGGGCCATTTGGGGAGTGAAGAAGCAAATGGAAGCTTTTCCCCTGTCTGCTTCACTCTCTAAATCTGGCTTTTCAATAAAAATAAATACATTTTTAAACATACACACAGCAGAGGTCACTACAGGCCTTGTATTGGTAGTAAGGCTTTTGGGAACACAAAGAACACGGCCTCACCACCTCTCCAAATGATTCTCCTTGGGGGTTTCTGCTCAGAGGACACTCCCAGAGACGTGTCCAAGAGATGTGTTTTGCCAACTGCAATGAAGGTAGAGTGTGCTCCCCCAGGGAACTGCTTCCGGACACCAGAGCACACACTTTGGAAAATGCCGACATCAACGTGTGAGTGTGACACATTCATTCAGAAATGCTACAATCAATCAATAAACCAACCTATAAACACACTTGCTTGAATGTTTTGTGACACCCTCGCATCCCCCTTCATGCTTCCTTCCTTTGATACGTTGGATCTCATCTTCTTGCTTATACAAGAAAATTGGCAAAAGTCACTCGTACTCCCCACTCTCTCTCCATCTCCTTTAGGGTGCCAGCTGCTACCTTTTCTTGCCTGGACTTCTGCACCTGCATCCTAACTTTCTCCATGGTCTTTCTCCAGTTGCCTCCAAGCTGCAGCCAGACTGACTGTGGTGCAGGTATACTTAGGTCATTCCTCTGACTAAATCTTCACTGGTTTGTCATTATTCCTCTCTCATATGAATTTCAAACTACTCCTCATGACACACAAGGCTTTTTGGGGTCGGGTCCAACTGATGTTTCAGCTCCAGCTTTCTCTCATCACACTGGACCTTTTTTCCAGAACGCTCCCACAGTGGTATTGTCTCAGCT